AGTGGAGGTCCTGCAAAATGCTATACCTCCACGTAGTGTCATAAGCCTTCTCGAGATCGAAGAACACAGAAACAAGGTGTTCTCTCTTGAAAAAGGCTTCTCTGATCGATGTTTCAAGTTGATTCAGATGGTCCATGGTGGACCACTGTCGACGGAACCCACACTGGGTGGGCAAGAGGAGCGTGTTTGATCCCAAGAACCAAACAAGACGAGCATTAACCATCCTCTCCAAGACCTTACAAAAACAACTAGTCAAAGCAATGGGACGATAATCAGGAGGAATCTTGGGATCCTTCCCAGGTTTAGAGAAATGGAGGACAATAGCCTGGTGCCAAGCATCAGGAAAACATGCTCCTGCCAGGTCCGGTTTCTTGCAACCAGAAGAATAGCAAGAGAGGCAGGAGAGAAATGGCGCAACACCTCATAATGAACATCATCAGGTCTGAACACTGTACCACCAGACCAATGAAGAGCAAGTTTGAGTTCCACCTGTGTAAAGGGGCGATTATAATCATAGAGACGACCAGCCTGAAAGGAAAGAGTTGATCTCTCTTCCTGAGACTTGATGGCCAAGAAGGCAGGGCAAGAAACAGAATTACTAGAAGCACGAGAAAAGCTGTGGCCGAGAGCATCAGTAATGCTCTGGACATCAGCAACTTCCTGGCCATTGGAGAGCAAGATGGAAAGGGGATGGGAAGCATACCTCTCAGTGACTTTCCAAATCTTGTCCAATACAGTTTTGGAACTGGTGGGAAAAGAGATGCTAGAAGTGAGCTTAATCCAAGACTCCTTTTGACTTTGACGTCAAACCTGCCGAGCATGGGAATGGGCCCACTGATAAACAGTGTTGTTAGAAAGAGAGGGATAATATCAGAAGGTATCCCAGGCCCGTTTTTGAGCCATCTGTGCCTCCTGGCAGGTAGAACTCCACCATGGATGAGGATACTGTGGAAAACGTGTCGAGGTCTTAGGAATAAAATGAGCAGCTGCCTAGACGATACAGTCAGTCACTGCAACCACACAATCGTCTATTGGTGGCAGACAGACAAAGGCAGGATCAAGTTCAGAGAGAGAGGTGAAAGATAGCCAGTCAGCATGGTCCAACTACCACCGTGGCACACGGGTCGGGTGACATCGACCATGGCCAACCTCCCTCATAATGATAGGAAAATAATCACTGCCCCGTGAGTCACTGTCGACCATCCAAGAAAAGCGAGTGAAAAGTGAAGGGGAGCAAATGGAGAGATCAATATCAATATCAGCCCCACCCCAGATGGGGTTGTGTCCATTAAAGTCACCCAGAAGTAAAAAGGGAGATTGCAACTGGTCAACGAGAGAGCATAAAGATCCGATTGATCATAAGTCTTCCCAGGAGACAGTAGAGAGAACAAACAGTGATGGTACAACCCAAGGAAACATGGATTGCTACGGTCTCCAAGGGTGTATCGAGGGACACAGATAAGGAGGGCACATTGTGATCGGCCAGCAGTGCCACCCCTCTGTGCACCCGTCCATCACACAACCTGTCATTCTGGTACAACGAATACTGTTGAAAGGTGACTGTATCGGCAGGTTTCAGAAATGTTTCCTGTAAGGAGAGACACACGGGATGATAGGAGTCACTTAAGGCCTTAATGTCATCGAGATAAGAACGAAAACCTCGACAGCTCCACTTTATCAAAGTGGCCATTTTTATGTAGGTGAAGGAGAACAGGGTAGAGAACCCTTCGGTTTACTAGATGGAGGTCGATCGACCTCCATAGATCCTGCTCTTGATCAAATGGGCAGGTCTCTGTCATCAGAGTGAGAATCCAGTGACTGAGGACGGATCGAATGATCGTCCTGAATTTAGGGGCCAAAGCAGGATCCGAGTGGACAACAGAGGCTGGTGCCCGAGGAGGTTGACCCAGACAGTCACTGGAAGGAATAGTAGGGACAGAGATCAGACTAGACGTAAACCTGTCACTCTATTATCCATGGAGAGCAGAAGAACCCTCACATGGCGTGAAAAAGACTCAGATGGAGGCATGGAAAGGTCCGTCTGCACCTCCATTGTAGCAGTGGAGTGGAGTGCAGTGGCATATGTCCGAGATGGAGCAGGGAACAATAGTTTCCGAGCCTCTGGGTAAGAAATGTTGTCTTCAAATGCTATACCTCCATCTCCTTTACCCACTTAGGCAAGACCTAAAGTAAGAGGGCTGGGAACCACTACAGTTGACACAGTGAGAGTCCAGTTTGCACTCGTAGGCGTCGTGGTCCTTTCCACCACAACGAGCACACAGCACAGAACCACAACAAGATGTCTTTGAATGACCGAAACCGCTGGCACTGAAAACATCGGAGAGGGTT